TGCCCCAGCACGTCCCCGGCGGTGGCGGCATTTCCCGACGGTGGCATCGGCGAAGCCCTTCCCGCGGCCCCCCCCGTGATGTTCCCATGCGCATCGAGAGGGGATCCCACCGGCCTCCTACACACATTTAGTTTGAGCAGTATCGGAATACAACTTCAGCTGAAACTCGGGTGGAATTTAGGACAACAATGTGAAGGATTTGTCAGAGGCAGTAGGATTAAATACTCCGGGAGACAGTAGCGTGAGTTTGACAATTACTAAAATTGGGCAGGACTACGTTTTATTTCTCATCCAAAAGGCAGTAACTCTTGCAGGACTGTGCTGCCCAATAGCTCCTCTTCAGTGAATTAAGGAGAGAAGTGGGACCTCCCGATCACCAAAACCAGCTTCCACAGCAGTGAGCTGGTGAGTTGAACCTGCCTCCAGACCTCGTGAGACACTAGCTGGATTTTCTGATAATTATCTGCACTATAATGACTATTTGCTTACTGAAGTCAATGGCCAAACTTTCATTACAAAGTTTCAGGACGAACGCTCACCTTAGGCTTCTGAGTTTATTATCAATACATACAACTCGTTTTCTGCCTGTATTATCCAGACACACTGACTCCTTTGTTTAAAGGTTATACATTTGCTACCTCCCCTCTATTGTTCAAAATTGTCCAGTATGCTACAAATGATGTTCTGAAATGTGCAGGGGTTCAGACAGACTCACTACCTGATTTTGTTTTCCTTAGCATCATGATTTCGTATGTGGGACACTTGCTAGCAGGGTTAACCTCTGCTGACATATGGTTTCTTCCCCAAAATATACAGATGATAAATACATTGGCAAATCTCCATAAAGGAATATATATCTTCTTTGTTGAGTTTGGCCTTGTTCAGTTGCACTATTCAGTGGACTCACTAAGAAACAGCTGTGAAAAAATGCGAGAAAGTTGAAGATGATTAAAGGAAGAAAAAACAGAGGAAGGAAATGAGGCGACTGAAGAAAAAGGTACAGGAGATGTAAAAAGGAGAGAGGCCAGGCCTACGAGAGAGCAGAATTGTCAACACCTTGAAAGTGGGAGGTTAAGGCTGAGTAACACATCCTTAACATGTGGCAGCTCTCACGCTAGGACACCTTTGGTATCCTCTTTCAGGAACCTGCTTGGGTTATTAGTTTTCCAAAAACCCACAATTAATTTTAATGAAACCATTTTCCTTTTTTAGACCAGCTTCAAAGGGAAAAAGAGGAGGAGTTTCTCTCTCCCCACATCAATGAAGGACAAGTCATAGAATTCCAGAGGAAACTTGCATACTTACCATGGAGAGACGGAGGAAACACACGTTTCTGCTCCATGGCACGTGTACATAGGGCATAAATTGAAATGTAGTATTTTAAAAGCAAACTACTCTCTTCACCTGATCATCCTGAGATACAAAACAAAGATAATAAGGTTATAGCAATTACCTACAGACCCTGACTTACCCGGGGCACACCAAGAGTGTAGCTCTGCAGCAAAGACCTGCTAACACACGAAGTAGTCACACGACCCCTCGTGTACAGCACGGACGTACTCACGAGTTTTACATAAATTACTGTTTTAAAATACTAAAGAAAGCCATGTCATCTCCATCCCGCGCGCAGGGAACCACACAGCAGGCCCATGGCCATGTCCCGGGCGCCCTGCAGCCCCCCACCCCACCCCAGCCACGGCCTTGGGCCGGGCCCG